TCAAACTCTGAAAATTCAAGGTCGTACGCAACCGACACCGCACATGTCCATGGTAGAACTAGATCTCTTTCCGTAGTCCCAGATCTCCTGTCTGTTCTCATAGAGGTAGGCCTTCAACTTTCCAACAGCCCACCAGAATGGATGCCACTTGGGCAACTTGCTCACACTTCTGGTCTCAACCTCCTGGATGAGGCTGTTCAAGATGGAGTCCTCAGCGATGGAGATATCGTTGGCACCGTTCTCGCTGACAACAACGAGGTCGTCGCAGATCATGGTGACCTTGGTTCCCTCGGTGACAACAGCGTTGACGGCGAAGACTCCGCTGGTAGCACCGTCCTTAGAGTTCAAGACCACGGACTCAGTGTTGCTGTTAGCCTTATCGGTGAAGAAGGAGTTGGTGGTCAAGACAGCCTGTCCGTTCTTGGTGGTGAGGGTTCCGTTGGAAACCTTAACCTCCTTGGAGACCTCGTTGGCGAGGATGGTGACTCCGAAGACGGCGGCCAAGCAGGCAACGGTCAAGACGGAACCGACAACGACGGCGGCCTTCATGCTCTTGACAGAGCCCTCGACGTTGGACAACTGTCCCTTGAGGCTGGACATGGTGGATCTTCTCTCGGACTCCATTATGATGATGATTTGGTGTGTGTTTGTTTTGTGTGTGTTTGTACGAGCTCGTGTTCGTAAAAGTGAGGCGCTCTGTGTGTTGACTTCGCCTTATATACCCCACTGGGATTAATTAAAATCACAAGAGAGAGCCCGGTGGAAGCTGTGAAGAGTAGAAAAAACAATGAAACTCACACGATAAGGCCTATCATATCATCCGTGAAACTAGTTTCGTTTGAGAGGCACTCTCGTGTGAGTTTTCGTGTTTCATTTTTTTTTCTGAAAATAATCACATCGGCTCTTTCTCGTGAGCCTCTTATCCAGGGGGTATATAAGGCGAAGTCGACCAATAAGCTCACGAAATTGTGTTCTTGATGGACAAAACTGATTTCGATGCAAGGTACGTGTGAGCCTGATTGGATCACACCAGAAGAAGAAGCGGCGCGAACTAGAGTGAGAGTAGAAGTGGCGGGACAGCAACAGGGCAGTTGAAAAAATTGCTTTATATTATATTTCCAAGTATTCACGACAAGTGCTTACAAGATCTCCGCAGCTGTGTTGAAGACAACGGTCAATCACGATCAACGTTGATGCTTCATTTGATTACTGTTGGCAAGGCTTGCGTGACGTCCCCTTGACCTTACTGGAAGGACTACGTGCTGTCTAGACTAAGACTAGTATTCCTTCCAGGGAAGAAACAGGCGTTGTAAATACAAAGTTGCTCTGTGTTAGTGCTTGCTAGTTCGCCAAGGTCAGAGTTTCTTCTGGCCTATTACTCTCTGGTCGCCAGAGAGTATATCCGAGGCCAACGTGGCGCTTTTCCCCCTCTGTGCCCTGCAGAATAATCCTCCAATGGATTCGTCCCTTCTGAGGTGTCTGGAAATTTCCCTAGGTGGCCACGTCATGACATGGTGCGAAATGCACGTGGGCCGGACAGTGGAAACTGCCCCACTAAAGGATCCTGGACCGTCTCCTCTCGATGGATAAGATGGAATCTTCTGGGTCCTTTTCGATCTGACTAGACAGACTCTGTAGCTGACCTTATCCTGTAGCCTGTGTACCCTGAAACCAAGAGTATGACCTCGAGGAGGAACACCCAATGTGGCATCCCGCTGGTCTCAACCTGAGTCTGTGGTTCCTACCGCTACAGCAGCCTCAAGGACGGCTGGGCAGATGGTGTGGTACAAGTAAACGGAAGCTGGGTCGTTCCTCTGGGAAGGTCCGTTAGGGTATGGGTTCTCGCAGATCTGAACCATGACCCACAAAGCGGCACTAGCAGGAGTTAGGAGCTTGAGTCTCCAGCTCACGTTTCTCTTCTCGTCTCGTGTGTGTGAGGAAGAGGAGCTCCTTGTTGTGCTGAGGATAAAGGGGATAGAATTGTACCACCAATAAGGTGATGGGCGCGTCGGAGGAGAGACCTGCAAGAAGGAAAATGGTATTATTGGGCACGGGAATGAATATTCAATAGGGGGAACACTCGGTTCGTTAACATTGTATTATTATCAAAAACCATCAAAAACTTATAGCTCAAAAACTAAAAAAACTCAAAAAGTGTCAAAGAAGGACAGCTATGACTTTGCTCTCTAATGTCGTGCAATCTAATTCACAACCAATACACGTTTTCCGTCACGCTCCTCTACCTTTAGAGATTGAAAGTAAGCGGGGGGCCACGGAAGGTCTCTGTCCTCAAGCAACCGAACCATTTCTTTCAGGGGTTCGACGGTTCCCGCATCTAAATTCTGTTTCAACTCCCCATAGCTTTCGGACATCGTTTTAGAAGTGTCCCTCTCGTATCCCAGACCAATGAGCCACATCGCCATGGCCAGGGAGTTCTTGTAGATGTTCCCCGTCATCGTCAAAGGGCTGTTAGCGTTCAGAAAGTCGAAGGCTGCCTTGGGACCGACATTCATCGTGAGTGTTGGGATGTACTGCGCTGCTCCAGAAGCTGTTGCCCTTACCAGTGGCCATCCGCCCCATTCCCCCTCAAGATCCATGAGCCTGATCTTCAGCTCCTCTACCAATGCTCTCATTTCCTTCAGCCTTTCGTCCCTTGCCCGTGAAAAATCTATCCTTCCATGTTTCGCTGAACGAAAATGCTCCCACATGCTAACAAACATCTCATGAAGCTCCTTCGTGGTCATCGCGCAATATTCTCGAGCTGCTCCCTCTCTGCGTGCACTTCGTTCTTCGTCTTGAATCATCGTCTCTTCGTGAGCCCACTCTCTAACGAGCTTCATTCCGACATCCGTCGGTGCCTTGGTTTCTTTTCCATCCTTTTCTTCCTTCTCGCGAAGCAACTTGTACAATAGAGCACTGAACTTGGTGCCCTCAGGGTCGTCCCCCCCTCCCTCCCTCTCCACGCCCTTCCTCACGCGGAGAGGCAGGGGCTTCAAATTGTGGACCTTCAACAACCGCCCCAAAACAGGCATCGGTTGTACTTTCCCGCGGTCGATCTGGCCTTCCAGCTTCTTGATGCCCTTTCGAAGCCCATCGGTCTTGTCACATCGATTATAACCCAAGCCCGCTATGAGCCAACACGCGATGTGGTCTCTTTTGTACACGTTGTGCTTCCCATCCTTATGAGCCATCAGAAGAGCTTTGGTCACCTCGGGCCCGAGATAAAACGAAAGGATAGGGACGTACGCGTCGTACAATGGATCCCCTACCGAGAAGTGCTCCACACCTCCTTTGACTTCAGGATTTTTCGACAGAAGCTCGTCCAGCAGATATAGGGCACCTTGCGCTTGTCTCTCCACTTCCTCGTCCCTCTCCCCCCGGACTTCAAGCCACTTCCAGAACTTCATGAACTTGCTCCAAAGGTCGCGCTTGCTAGCCTTCTGACACTTAGCTTCCGTTTCTCGTTGAAAAGTCTTTCTTGCTGCTGCCCTCCTCGAAGCCTCTTGTCTCAAACCCATCTCAGTTGCATCGACTGTGTGGAGAGCACCTCGCACAAGTGATCCTGCTATACCATCCTCCTTCTTTCCACACAGCACACAAGGGCAGCCTCGGCCGCCAATTTCGCTTTCGTCTCCTGCTGGTTGGACCTCTGGAGCAGTGGCGGTTCGATCAGGGACAATATACGCTATTTGGTCTCCTCCAGCAGTACTGGGTGGAGGTGGTGTGTGGTTGCCTTGCCTCGACTGCTGTTGCCCTGGCACAGTTTCCGGCACGCGGCCACCAGGTACACTCACAGGCGCCTCACCTTGCGCAACACCAGCAGCAGGGTTCCTGTTGCTGTCCCCACGTCTTCCATCTTGGTTCGCTTGGTCAGATCGCGCCATTCCCATACTCGATTCTCGCAAGTTGGAAGCATAAGGCCAGCGCTCGATTCCAAAGTCTTCACATCTACGACGTAGAGTCTTCATGCCAAGGTTCAACCGTCTTGCTGCTTCCTTCATAGGATACTGGTACAAGGTTTCGAGTTGCTCCTTGCTGACTTTGTACCTATTACCTCTTTTGCGTTTCCCTCCTCCAGAACCGCCAGCACTTCGACCACTGCCCTGCACTTGGGAGACCTCAGACTCCGAGTCGGTCATGGCCTTCTCACGACGAAGGAAGTTGTAAGATTCAGGACGGGCAGGTCGTTCGATTAAGTCAGTCTTGACTCGCAAAGGCATACTGTCTCTTCTTATTACCTTCTTGTTGTTCATTCTCGAGGGCCCTGCTATGTCGTCCACCGTGATGCCTCGAGTCACAAAGTGGCAAAGTTGCAATGTGGTGTGATGTATGAAACCACAAGCGAAGTCCTTGGTATGATCTTTGCAACGTACGTGAAAAGGTCTCTCACCGTTTTAGGTTGCTCTTCGTGCTGCTTCCACTACGTCAGCCGTCCGCTTGTTCCGTCCGCTCTGTGGCTGATTGTGTTGACAACCGTGTCATCATGACATGGATTGCTCAGCGCCAGCGCCAGCGCCATAATCACAAGGACCACACGTGGGTCACGGCGGCTAGTGGACAGGGATTCAATTAAGGAAAAGGGCTTAAAGTTTGGCTACCATTCTGCGTTACTACATTGGCATTGCAACTAACGTGGATTACAACGTCGGAAGAACTTGTAAGGAATTAAGGAAAAGATAAAACCTTCACAACCGATAAAAAATAAGATAAGATACTTGGAATCCTCTCCAGCCGTCATTCCAAAGGGATGTCTTTAAACCAATAATTAATGACTTGGTTGAAGTTTCCAATTAATGCACCTAACAACAATAGAAGTTCCTTCCATTCTGCGTTACTTTAAAGATAAGAGAACTAAAGGTAGTAATTTGCGATTGCTTATTTGCTCAAGAACATTTCTTTTTCCCTCTAAGGATTTTGACTCGAGACACTTTAGCATGATAGACTTTTACTCAACTCGGCGACTGAAGCGGAGCACCGAAGCCTGCTAGAGCAAAAAAAAAAGTCCACGGTGGGGATCGAACCCACGATCTTTCGCTTAGGAAGCGAACGCCTTATCCACTGGGCCACGCGGACGAGGTTTGCATTTTCTACTCTCGGCCGTACGCGGCATTTTGCACATGTGCCAAATACACGACCGAAAAATTCGACAAATTTGCCAATATACGCTCTTTCTCAGACAGAGGAGAGAGGGGATGAATTCTCTCATCGAATCTCGCGTGTCAGCCACAAAAAAGGTTCTAGCACCGACAGTTGGCACAAGAAAACCAGCAACTCTTGAACGAACGGGCGACGACGATGAAGACCGCCTCGAACGCCTCGAACGCCTCGAACGCCTCGAACGCCTCGAACGCGCAGGCCCGTCGCCGTCCCCAAGGCCGTCCCCAAGTCTCTTCTTCTTCTCAGCGTCACCGAGGTCGTCACCAGCGTCTCCCGTCAACATCCGTGTTGACGTCCAACCTGCTCAAGGCGACGTCGGACCTGGCGTGGTTCGAGAACGTGGCGGGCCGTGCGGCGATGCTTGGGTTCCTGAACGCCGTGTACCTGGAGGGCGTGACGGGGAGCGGCGTTTTCACCACCACCACCACCCCCGCGTCGCCTCCCCTGGCCCTGGGCCTGGCCCTCGCGATCGCCCTGGGCTGCGCCTCCCGGGCCCTCAAGCCCTCCCCCGTGGACGTGGAGGACAGCTTCGCGACCTTCGTCGCGAGCTCCCCCCAGGGCAAGTCCCAGCTTGAGGTCGTGTTGGACAAGGTCATCGACGAGGTCGTCCGCCTCTGACGAACTTTTTGCAGCCGTTTTTTTTGTTTGTGTATGTAACTTTTACTGTATACTGTACAATTTTTGAGTATTACTGTCCTCCTCCTCTTACTGTCCTTCTCCATTCCAATCCCTCTCATCAAAGGATCATCATCCCCCGCTTCTCCCTCCTCCTCTCCGCAAAGTACTGCAGGACCGCGAAGCAGATCCCGGCGATGGCCTGGACCCGCACCTCGTCCAGGGTCGTGGCCAAAATCGCCACGAGGTTCAGGGGCGTCCCCACGATGGTCACCACGCTCCCCAGCAGCCCCCCGCCCCTCCACAGGAACTTGCAGAACTCGAGGTGGTTGGGCAGGGTGAGGAGGATGCTCGCCAGGTTCAGGGCGACCGACCACGCCCCCCCCCCTCCCCCTCCTCTCCTCCCAAGTCCTCCCAAGATCTCCCCGAAAGCCTTGCTCGTCAGCACGAGGGGGACGCTCGCGGCCACGGGGGCGTACCTCTGGGCCTCCCTCATGCCGGAGAACAGCAAGCCGTCCCGGTTCAGCAGGAGAAGGATGGGGCACAGCATGAACACGGCGTACGAGGAGCGGGTCAGGCCGCCGCCCTCCTGCCTGCCCTCCCGGAACAGCAGGAGCCACAGCACGAAGGTCTCCACGGTGGCGACGTTCCCGATCAGGCCGACCCTGGCCTCCTCGGCCCGGGATCTCCCATTGATGCCGCCGCTCAGCTTGAGCTTGATCGAGAACGCCACGATCATCATGTAGCACACGTGGCTCACCAGGAGGCCCACCCGGAGGTCCGCCTCCAGGTCCCTCTCCACGTCCACGTAGAGCCTGACGTCGTCCGTCTCCACCCTCTTCGGGGGACACGCCCAGGTGAGGCCCAGGCTGGCGGGCAGCATCAAGACCAGCAGGAGGAACAGGCGGAAGGCGGCCTTGGTCCCCCTGGACATGTGAACCAGGGCCAGGACGAGGAGGCACAAGCAGGTGGTGAGCCCCGCGACAAGCTGCATCAGGCCGTAGCCCGGGAAGAGCTCGAAGGAGATGTACGACCCGATCCCCGCGCCAGAGAGAAGGGCGAGGGACACCCTGAGGAGGAGGTCGCTCCCCCCCCTCCCGCCGCCCCCGACCCCGAGGCTGCCCAGCCCGGAGATCACCGCGACCACCAGAAGCCACTTGGGCCAGTGCTCCCGCCTCTGCACGAGGTCGCCGTAGATCGCCACGTCGTCCGCCTCGTGCTCTGGCCTGTGGTCCGAGTCCCAGAGGCGGGGGCAGAGCTCGAATGGCAGCCTGGGGCACCTGGCCCCCCCGGCGATCGGCATCGGCGGCCTCACAAGGGCGATGACCAGCCCGGAGGCCAGGACCGAGATGACCAGCCTGCGGCCCGCTTGGCTGAAGGGGAAGTGGGCCCTCAGCATGGGAACGCAGGCAGCGCTCGAGCCGATGAGGAGGGACCCCACCAGGAGGCCCTCGTTCGGCCTCGACCCCAGGAGGGCCTGGAGGACATCGAAGACCGTGAACCTGGCGTAAAGCACGGCGAGGGCGATGGAGGCCGCGTGGCAGACCCCCTGCCACTCCCGCATCTTGATCCTCCCGGAGGACGACGCCCTCCCGTGGTGGCCGGGCCTCCCCCACGCGGCCGGGGCGTCCCTCCCGGCCCTCCTGTACAGCTGGACGGGGGCCGTGACCGCCATGAGGACCACGGTGCAGGGCACCACGAGGTGGGACTCGTGCAGGGCGAGCATGGAGACCTTCGCCGCCAGGATGCACTGCAGCAGCCAGGACGCCAAGTTCCCGAGCTTCCCTGACTGCTGGAGGGTCCTGACCGCCCCGATGCCCAGGCCGCTCGTGAGCAGGACCAGGTAGGGCGGGTAGGTGAAGTCCCCCTCGTCGTACCGGCTCAGTCTCGAGCCGAAGACCATCCCCCTCTCGAGGTACGTCAGCAGGACGCTCTGGAGGACCAGCACGGAGGCGAGGAGCCCCCCCCCCCCCAGCCTGCAGATGACGATCCCGGGGACGAGGGACGAGAGCACCAGGCAGAGGGTGAGGAGGGTGCAGAGCTCCGTCATCCGCAGGGCCCCGGTGGTGACGTCGAGGTACCAGAAGTTCTCCCTGAGGAACCAGGCCACTGTGCCCGTGAGCCCGGCGACAAAGACGAGGTAGTCCCTGAAGAGCCTGGACTCGACGAAGAGGACGAGCCCGGCGGCGCAGGTCAGGGCCGCCACGAGCGCCAGGGTCGACATCCCCAGGGCCAGGCAGCCCGCTGTGATGCTGAGGATGAAGACCACGCCGACCCAAGAAGGCAGGACCGCGAAGTTGTCCTCCAGGGTCTGGGAGAAGTTGACGTCGAACTTCTCCTTCATTTTAGCAGAGTCGGAGACGATGAGGAAGTTCACCAGCGCCGCCCCGCCCCCGCTGAGCGCCAGGGTGATCGCGATGTAGTTCCACGGGGCCGGCAGGTGGATGTACTGGGAGAAGCTCCTGAACACGACCCTCCCCTCGAGCCCCAGAACCAGGGCGACGAGGGCCACGTTCGCTAGGGCCACCCTCACCGCGAACACCCCGTCCATGGACAGGCCCGACCACCACAGCAACCCACCCCTCTGGGCTCCCGTCGTCCGTGGGGAGTACACCGCCAGGTACATCAGCGGGACGCCAAGGAGAAGGAGCAGGGACCACAGGTGCGTGGCCGAGCTCGCCAGGGAGGCCGCTGGCCAAATCTCGGGCGAGTGCAGGACCAGGTAGAGCAGCCAGGGCACGGCGAGCAAGGCCCCCGTGCAGACCTTTGCGTCGTCCCTCTGCACCACCAGCCCCACCTCGAAGCCCCCCTTCTTTCCCGGCCTCGCCGGCCCCTTGACGAACGAGCTCGGCATCGGGCTCGAGAAGAACGCCTTGTGCAGCAGCAGGGAGCACGCCAGGCAGTAGAACGGCGCCTGGCCGCTCCCCACCGCGGCGATGAGGCCTTGGGCGACCAGGACCAGAGACACCAGGGGGGACGCGGTCATGACGAGCTTCTCCATCGCCAGCGTCGCGGCAGGGTGCTGCACCTGAACCCACTTGAACCTGGAAAGCAGGGAAAGCCGGTCAGTCCGAGATCTCACCTAAAACCTAGTTTCTCGTTCTCGTCTATCTAAACCTCATTCGCAAACACTTACTGTATCGTCGCCCAGAACCCCACGAGCGTGAAGAGCTGAGCCTCCGCCACCAGCGTGAACAGCGCCTCCAGGCTGACCACCGTCTCCCTCGCTCTGGCATCAACCCCTGCCAGCACCGCCAGGACGCTCCCCGCGAACCCCATCACGAGGGTCACCCAGACCCCAAAGAACGTGGCCTCCTTGGCCCCGCTCAGGTCCAGTATCGTCGTCGTCAGCACTCCCACTATTCCCACCGCCGCCACCATCTGGTGCGCGAACCCGAGGGTCGCCGCAAGCGCCGGCACGAGCGCAAGCCCCGCATTCCCATTATACCTGAACGCTCCCGTACCGAACTTCGTCATCTCTCCACTCCACCACTCTCTCTCCCTCCTCCCCTCCTCTCCGGCGCGCCACCCCTCAAGCTTTTGGTTCGCACAAATTGACAGACGGGGAAGGAGCGAGCATGAAGCCCTCGAGGGGGAGAGAGAGACACGACAACGACAACGACAACGACAACGACGACGACAACGACGACGACGACGACGACAAGGGCAACGAGGGTTGGCGCCAGGGGACGTCTCTTTCTTCTTCTTCTTCTTTTTCTTCTTCTTCGTCGTCGGTGACGTACTCGTCCATGACGAGCAAGAGGAACAACGGAAAGGGGGGGAGGAGCAAGAGGATCACACCAACGCCCTCGCTGCCGAGGGAAAGGAAGCCAGCCAACTCTCTGTTTGTGACGGCCGCGACCGAGGATTACGGTGGGAGCCCGAGGAGCAGTGAAGTGCAGAGGCGGAGGCAGATGTTCGACGAGATATCGGGGGTCGAGGTCCCCTCAGTCTCTTTCGCGACTGCCACCTCGAACGACGCCAAGCAGAGCTTGGACGAGGCCACGAGCAAGCTGTCTCGCTGGTTCGGGGTCGGTGGGGGGGCTGGCAAGGCCAAGGAGCACGCCGCCCACCTCACGTCGTCCGCCTGCAACATCTTGAACGAGCTGACCCTGCTGTGCGAGGCCATCGCGGGAGGGGGCAAGTGGTCGGAGTACGCCTGCTCGGTCCTCGAGGAGGCCCTGCCCCTGACCCTTGAGCTCGGACCCCGGGCGCTGGAAGCGCTGGCCGAGTCGACCGCGGTGTCCCCCGGGCTGAGGAGCTCGATTAAGGACAAGCTCGACTCCCTCGTGGACCTGACG